CATTTATTTAGGTACAGTTACACGTAAATACAATTACATAAATTATCATACATAGTAACGTGTCAGTTACCTAGGATAGCCCCAAAAAAGCCAAAGTGACTTCTTTTCATTTGGGTCCTTGACTTATTTATATTGAGGTCCTTGATAGGGTAATTTGCCTCTTTACTGTGAAAGCACCTAGTAATAATATTTTTACTCACCTCAAATAATGCTGATATTAAAGAAACATTATCAAATATAAAAAGCAAAAGCAAAATTGTGATACGTTAAAAGGGGTTCAAATAATGATACATACCAGTGTATGGTAGTAATACACAAAAGCAGCCATTTGGCCACTGTAGGTTTGTTTTAGTCATGGTGCTGTACAAAATAGTAAAACCAGTTAACATAAATATGAAACAAATAGTAAAACCAATAAACATAAATATGAAATCAAACATAAATGTAAAATCAATAAAAACATAAACATTAAATATTTTTAAAACACATGAAAAACCATCACAAATCAATATGCAGTCCTAGCCATAGACACATCCACTGGCACACATCAAGACGTGACTCAGTGAGTAGAAAGAGAATGTGGCCAGTCAGGTTCAGTTCATGTACTAAATGTGACTCACATTAGGGATAGTGTCCTGCAAATGTTCAGTTGCAGCTAAATTGAGTGACACTGAAAGACACACAAATACCGCCAAGCACAAAACACTGAAGAACCATTCAGTACATAAAGACAAACAATTCTTCAATTTAAAAGATTAAGTGATGTAAGAAGAGAGGGGAAATATACCAATATATCTTTGTTCATTGCTGAATATTGTTCATTATTTAACTCTGCAAAAAAACATTTTGCTGACAATTTGGATGTATGAACCTTTAAGCTCAGGATTGGGATTTAGTAGATTTATAATAATTGCCTGTATACAGTGGACCCTTGCCTAACGAACGCATCGCATAATGTTAAATCCGCCTAACGAAGCGTTTGAGCGTAAAAATTTTGGCCCATGTAACGATAAAAAACTCGCGTAATGTGGTTCGTCCAGGAGCATCCCAGGTGTGGCCTGAGAGCGCCTCAGCTGCCCTGTGGGTGCCAGTGTTTACAAGCCAGCCAGTGCAGTCGCATCTACGCGTACATTCGGTACATTTCACATTATCCCAGTGTTTTTAGTGCTTGTCACTGCAAAATAAGTCACCATGGGCCCCCCCAAGAAAGCTTCTAGTACCAACCGTGTGGTAAAAAGGGTGAGAATTAGTATGGAAATTAAGAAAGAGATAATTGCAAAGTACAGTACGAAAGTGGTGTGCATGTCTCGGAGCTGGCCAGGTTGTATACCAAACCCCAGTCAACCATCGCTACTATCTTGGCCAACAAAATGGCAATCAAGGAAGCTGTTCTTGCAAAAGGTGCAACTTTGTTTTTGAAACAGAGATCACAAGTACTCGAAGATGTTGAGAGACTGTTATTGGTGTGGATAAACGAAAAACAGATAGCAGGAGATATAATCTCTCAAGCGATCATATGTGAAAAGGGTAGGAAGTTGCATGACGATTTAATTAAAAAAAATGCCTGCAACTAGTGGTGATGTGAGTGAATTTAAGGCCAGCAAAGGTTGGTTTGAGAGATTTAAGAATTGTAGTTCCATACATAGTGTGATAAGGCATGGTGAGGCTGCCAGTTCGGACCAAAAAGTGGCTGAAAAATATGTGCAGGAATTCGAGGAGTACATAGAGGCTGAAGGATTGACACCCCAACAAGTGTTTAATTGTGACGAAACAGGCCTGTTTTGGAAGAAAATGCCAAGCAGGACCTACATTACTCAGGAGGAAAAGGCACTCCCAGGATATAAGCCTATGAAAGGCAGGCTTACTCTTTTGTTGTGTGGTAATGCTAGTGGTGATTGCAAAGTGAAACCTTTATTGGTGTATCACTCTGAAACTCCCAGTGTGTTCAGGAAAAACAATGTCCTCAAGGCTAATTTATGTGTGATGTGGAGGGCAAACAGCAAGGCATGGGTCACTAGGGACTTTTTCTATGACTGGTTTCACCATCTGTTTGCCCCCACTGTGAAAAATTACCTCCTGGAAAAGAAATTGGACCTTAAGTGCCTCCTAGTATTAGACAGTGCTCCTGGTCATCCTTCAGACTTGGCAGAGCGAATTTCTGGGGATATGAGCTTCATTAAGGTGAAGTTTTTGCCTCCTAATACCACTCCTCTCCTCCAGCCCATGGACCAGCAGGTCATTTACAACTTCAAAAAACTCTAGACAAAAGACATGTTTCAAAAGTGTTTTAAAGTGACCTCAGACACTCGATTGACCCTAAGATAGTTTTGGAAAGATCACTGTAGTATCCTCAGTTGTGTAAACCTTATAGGTAAGGCTTGGGAGGGAGTGACTAAGAGGACCTTGAACTCTGCTTGGAGGAAATTGTGACCAGAATGTGTACAAGAGAGGGATTTTGAAGGGTTTGGGGCTAATCCTCAGGAGCCTGTGTCAGTTGTGGAATCTATTGTGGCATTGGGGAAGTCCTTGGGGTTGGAGGTTAGTGGGGAAGATGTGGAAGAGTTGGTGGAGGAAGACAATGAAGAACTAACCACTGTTGAGCTGCAAGAGCATCTGCAACAGCAAGAGGCCAGACCTGAGGAAACTGCTTCAGAGGAGGGGAGAGAGAAATTGAAGAAGTTGCCTTCTTCAAAGATAAAGGAAATGTGTGAAAAGTGGCTTGAAGTGCAAACCTTTATGGATGAAAATCACCCTAACACAGCTATTGCAAGCCGTGCTGGTGACTATTACAATGACAATGTTGTGGCCCATTTTAGGAAAATCTTAAAGGAACGCCAGGTACAGAGCTCTATGGACAGATTTGTTGTGCGACAGAGGTACAGTGGCTCTCAAGCTGGTCCTAGTGGCATTAAAAGAAGAAGGGAAGTAACCCTAGAAAGGACTTGCTACCCCAAGTCCTCATGGAAGGGGATCCCCTTCCAAACAATAACAACTTCCACCATCTCCTCTCCTCCCATCCCATCCATCATCACCAGATCTTCAATAAAAGTAAGTGTCATGTATTCTTTATTTAGTATAGTAGTAATTGTGCATGTCTTCTTCTGTTTGTTTGTAGGAAAATGTATATTTCATATGGTAAAAATTTTTTTTTCATACTTTGGGGGGTCAGGAACGGATTAATTTGATTTCCATTATTTCTTATGGGGAAAATTAATTTGGCTAACTATAATTTTGCCTAGCGTTGAGCTCTCAGGAACGGATTAATATCGTTAGGCGAGGGGTTCACTGTACTGACACTTTTTTTTTAGCCCAGTTTCATGTGAATTTTGCATGTTGAGTGCTAAATCAGGGTTTCAGATCTCTGATCTAAGAATTATTCTCAGGGTCCAAGAATTAAAAAAAAAAAAATCCTAGGAAATGATAATCTCTTTCAGAAGGTAATAAGACCAAAAGTATGAAATTTGATGAAAATCTCATGGAATTACACTTGCAAAGCTAGCGGTCTTGGCATTATTTGCGCATTGGCGATTTTGCCTACTTTGAGACCTATTTTTGGCCAATTCCATTATTCCAGTCAACCAAACTCATAGCTACTTCACTAGTTTTCCTTCTGTTCTATCGATTGAGTACAAGCAACTGCCCGTTTACCTCTTTCAGCTACCTATTCAATTAAGTGATCAGAAATTGGAAATTTGGTAAATTTCACACAGTATTAAAAAAATGCCACTTTCAAAATAGGATTCAGAATAAACACTGTAGACATTCCTTGCAATAAAACATTTTCTTTGTTCATCAGGTATGTCTTCAGGCCTTTCCTATATTACACTTGCTTTCTATTTTTAATTTTTATTCACCAAAAAACAAAAATTTACTGGTATGCAAATCGCTGTATTATTGTAATAATTGTATAAATAATGTCAGTGCATTCCTAAATGAGTATTAGACCGGCCAGTTGGATGCATATTGAAGTGACGTAATTTGTGTCCTCTGGAATATCGGCAAAAGTCAAACATTTCTGCTACTCTAAGCTCAATTTCAAGCTACTTTCAGTCCTGAAACCAATAAAAATCATCTCTATATTTATAATATATCTGCCATTCTATCAAATGATGCTAAGAAACTGAGAATAAAAAGAAATAAAAATACACTGCAAAGTCGGTATTTTAAACCAAACTCGTGGTCAGTTTTTTTTTTTATCCATCATGTACTGTGTGGGGCAGGATTTTTTTTTATGTGCTACACACTCGCCACACAGACCCACTTTCTTATAGCTAGGCCCAAATTTGCCACTCACTGCTTATTATCTGAATGAGCTGAGCTCACCACATAGTTCTACAGTACAGACCCAGGGTAGTTCTGTCAAATTTGAAGCACAACTCATCTTACATAAACAGGTCATCGGAAGGACCGACAGTCCTGTAGTGATCCCATCTCACAGTTTACTGTGCACACCAGCCTCACTCACTTGACCACTCACTTGGCTATTGTTGTATATCTTCACTTGTACATTCTTGTTTATTAATTGATGATGCCTGTCCACAGGCAATTGTATTTTTATAACTGGACTTCAACTGTTAATATCATATGCATGGATAAAACTGTAAAATTATGTTAATACAGTGGTACCTCGAGTTATGAACTTAATTTGTTCCAGAAGGCTGTTCGAGTGCCGTTACTGAACGAATTTGTTCCCATAAGAAATAATGTAAATTAGATTAGTCCATTTCAGACCCCCCAAAAGTACACTTACAAAAGCACTTACAAAAATGCACTTACATAATTGTTCGAGTTGGGAGCTGTTCGAAACTTGAGGTACCACTGTACGTAATAGTTATTATTTGCAAGGATTGTCAATAGAAAGTATTGTAAGAAGGCTTTGTGGATATGGGAGGAGAGGGCATAACGTAGCCCCCTGATGACCACCCACAAAAGTATCTCTTGTTGTCCATGTTATTAAGATAACGTGGCTTCATTCATGTGTGTGGTGAATTAGACATCTGTGCAACAACTGGGGTATCTTTACTCTGTAGATGTTTGCCAACCAGTGGCTTTGTCAATACAATATGCTGTATGACCCTTGTGGGTTTAGTGCTTAGGTTTGATTGGAATAATAATAATAATATCAATGCAATACAGAGGACTGAAGAGATAGAAGATGAGGTAATCAGTCCCTCAGCCTGGGAGCAGGTGTTCAGTACCGTAAGCTTGATGAATCTGAAACACAGGCAGCAAGACGTAGAATCAGATGAGATTAGTACAGTGGACCCCCGCATAATGATCACCTCCCAATGCGACCAATTATGTAAGTGTATTTATGTAAGTGCGTTTGTACGTGTATGTTTGGGGGTCTGAAATGGACTAATCTACCTCACAATATTTCTTATGGGAACAAATTCGGTCAGTACTGGCACCTGAACATACTTCTGGAATGAAAAAATATCGTTAACCGGGGGTCCACTGTAATTAAGTAAGTTTATTCAGGTATACACAAATACAGTTATATAGAATTATCATAAATAGCAGCATATGTGTAGAGAACCTAGGATAGCCCAAAAAAGTCAGAGTGACTTATTTCCAGATAGGGAGTGCTTTTGCTTATTAAGAAGTACTGGTTAGGTGCTTGTTTAATAATCCCTAGAGATTTAAGGTATATATGAATGTGTTTATATCTGTGATATTTGTTAAATACTGTAGTTATATAAAATTAACCTCCCTAATCCTTGCATTATTTAACCTGGAGCAACTGTTGTTTTTTAAATTTTAAACTAGTGATGAGGGCTAAACCAGACATGTTAATGTGCCAGTGTAGACTTTGAGTGTAAATTTTATGTAAAAAATAAACCACTTTGGAGTGGTTGAGTGCAGGAGTGTGACTTTATACATGCTTATAGAGCCTTCCTCATGCCCTAATCTGTATCTGTGGTACTCGTTCTATAGACTTCTGAAGAAATGTTAATGAACACTGCCATATGATTTCAAAGTATTAAGACCTTTCATTAATTGAAAAACTATAAGATTTATGTCCTGCCATTATCCTTCTTTTAGCAAATTCTTAATTTCTCAGTAGTGCAAAGACCTAGTAAATCCCAGCTAATGAGAGAGAGCATTTTTAACTGTTAACCTATTGAGTGTCCAGTTTAACAGGATTATGCTGTTCTAGTAATAAAAGTATTCATTTTACATAATTATCTAAAACCAACTGCAGAAAAATAATCATCTGACAAAATCATCTTAAATTTTGCCTTAAAGAACATTATAGGAAGAGAGAGACACTCACCTCTAGTGTTGGTAATTTGTCTTCTACACTTAAGAGCATTTTACACCACTGGAATATCATATGGCTCTTCAGGCCAGGCTTCTTTCACAGTATCTATTAGTTTCTTGCTGTGAACACACACAAAAAAAGTGTTATACAAACAGTAATTCCTTATTCAGTGCATGGATTATGTCACCAGAATTAATTTGACAATGAGTTGCTCGGTAATAGACTTTCTCGAAACAAGGCAATACAGTGTTGACATAATCTGAACAGACTATGACTGTATTTTCCAGAATTTCATTTCTGGGCTATATCATTCAGAGCTCCCCACAAGGAAGATTTATTGATGCTAGTGAGGGGCTCTTCATCCTAGGAATCCAACCTGACCTCTTCTTTGGAATGAACTTGATTACCTCCCATTCTCCCAGATGCTGTATGACCCATACGAATTTAGGGAACTCATGAGAAGAAGAAAAATCATGCACAGTTTATGCACAAAATACATTATTGCTGCATTATACTCTATTCATTCATAATGCAGCATGCTATGACTTTCTCTATTCTGTTGGCCAGCACTCGACACTCTTTATCTTCTGTATAATATTAAGGATAGTTTCCTTTCTTTCCTGCCAGATATTACATATTGTATTCAGTCAGTTTTGGGATATAATACAATCCAGGATGGCAAAAAACGTTTGGAAAAAAAGTCTTTCAAATATGCAAAATTTTGATGACGTTCGAGATTTTACTTTATTCAGATGATCAGAATAAGGAAATTTAGGGCTGATTTCATGTTTCTAGAGTTTTTGTATACTACAGTTTTGAAAATTAAAGACCTGTTGTACTGTACTAGTCTACACTATTGACATATACCATACTGTGTAACCAGTAATAAACAAATTATTTTTTCAGTATGAGACTACAAATTAATCTTCTGGATAAAGTTACATGTCGGTAGTAATAAGCAGCCAGAGCCTTGTGTGAGGTTCATAACTACTGTCCAAGTTAAACTAATGTAAACAGTCACAGTACCTGGATGGAATAAATCACAAATAACCCACATCTGATTAAGAGAAGAAACTTATGACGAGTCATCACAAGTGAACTGTGATTTGACGGTGGTCCAGGAAGGACTTAAACACCGTCATAGCTTTCACCTCGTTAGTGCAGGTTATTTGTGACTCATTCTTTAAGTAACTTACCAGCCAAAGCACAGTACTACAGAAAGGTAAATTAAAAAAGGTTAATAACATTTTAAATATAAAGATATATTAATACAATACTTACTGAATGGAATCAGGTAGGAAACATGCTATACCAGTAAAATTAAATGTAACATCAGGGCTGACAGGGACAATGCATACATGTCTCACAAATGGTGGGTGAGGTAATAGATGCTTTAGTATTATTTTTATTTTTCCAGTGATCTGTAAGGTAGAAAATTAAGGAAAATTATTTCTCCATCAGGTTTTATTGTCTATTAATATTTGTTTATTAATATAATTTACTTATCTGGTGAGACAGATAATTAAATGAAAAGGATGTCAATAAAGGGTTAAAGACTAAATGTGACATTGTTTATGTGAAACTTAACAAGACCTATGATAGTGTAAAATGGGAGCCAGACATAGGAAAAAATTAACAGAACATCGTATTAGAGGTTAGGTTAGGTAAGGTTGGCCAGGAAACAGGACAATTGTTTCCTGCAGTGGTGGGTCATATGATGACCCGCCACTGGAGCTTTTGGTCATCTGACTAAGGCCTTCCGCTGGCTTACTGATCCACCCCTTTAAAAATTAGGGTTATGAGTATTTTAGATGTATTAAAGAAAAATTTCTTTCTTATATCAAAGCATGACTGATAGGCAGCAGGGAATTTGTGTAAATGGGTATTATTATGATGTTATTATTTATTCTCTGGTAAGCACTGAACCCTTATTGATCATACAGCGCCTGTGGGATGAGACCAGACACAGACAGTATCAAAGGGGAAAGAAAACAGTAGGACCAGTGTCAAGGAACATTCCACAGTGGCCTTTTTCAAAGTCTACATAAATGACTTAGAGCAGAGGATAAATAGTAATACATGTATATGTTTACTATTGACACACAAATAGGCTGCCAAATTCTGAAAATATCAGGTAGTTACAAGACAACTTGGATAGGTTAATGTTGTGGTCACAAAAAATGGCATATGAAGTTAGTGTGGATAAATGTAATGACCTAATACAGTGGAACCTCAAAAAATGAACTTAATCCATTCCAGGAGCTAGTTCTAAATTTGAAAAGTCTGAAATTCGAAGCAATATTTCCCATAAGAAATAATGGAAATACAATTAATCTGTTCCAGAAACCCAAAAATATTCACACAAAAATACATTTTATAGAGATTAATTACAGTTTTACATACAACAAATACAATAGTTTTTAATTATGTAGAGTAATACATATAAAATAACATTTTTACTTACTACCTTTATTGAAGATTGGTGATGGCATCTGGAAGATAGGGAGGAGGAGAGAGGGAGTTGGGGTTAGTGTTTGGAAGGAGAATCCCCCTCCATGAGGACTTCAGGTAAAGCCCTCTCTGGAGTTACTTCCCTTCTCTGTCTTTTAATGCCACTAGGACCAGCTTGAGAGTCACTGGACCCCTGTCCCACAAAATAACTGTCCACAGTCCTCTGTTTCTGGCGCCTCTTTAACATTTCCCTAAATTGGGACATGGTTCTGTCACTGAACTTGTTGCAAAGATGGCTTGTTTCAGCTTGCTCAGGGTGGTACTTCTGCACAAACATTTGGACATCATTCCACTTGGCACAAATCTCCTTAATCATTGAAGAAGGCACCTCATCCACTCCCTATATTAACACCTTTTGCAACATCAGCTTCCTTGATTTGTTCTTTCTTTGACAGGATAGAACCGATGGTCTACTGGACCCCAGTCTCACAAAATAACCGTCCACAGTCCTCTGTTTCTGGTGCCTCTTTAACATATCCCTAAATTGGGACATGGTTCTGTCACTGAACTTGTTGCGAAGATGGCTTGTTTCAGCTTGCTCAGGGTGGTACTTCTGCACAAACATTTGGACATCATTCCACTTGGCACAAATCTCCTTAATCATTGAAGAAGGCACCTCATCCACTCCCTATATTAACACCTTTCGCAACATCAGCTTCCTTGATTTGTTCTTTCTTTGACGGGATAGAACCGATGGTCTACTTGTTTTTCCCATACATCCTGGCAAGCTCAACAAGTCTTACACCACTCTCATACTTCTGTATTATTTCCTTCTTCACATCTATGGTGTTTCTCACTTTCTTTACCACAGGGGTACCACTAGCAAGTTTCTTTGGGCCCATGGCAGCTTATTTCACAGTCCCACAAGCACTAAACACAACGAAATAATCGTAAAATGCGTGAATGAGAGTGCAGGTTAGTGTTCACTCAAGCATAAACAAAGCTAGACTACTCACAGCGCCTGCGTGGGGACGCGGACAGAGCAGGTGGCAGACAGGTCCCGTACCCGGCGGTCCGAAAATAGGGGCGCGTTCAATAATAGGGACACAGTTTGTCCGAAAAAATGGTCCTATTTTCGAAACGTTTGATATGTGATACGTTTGATTTTTGAGGTTCCACTGTACTAGAGAAAAATTACTAGTACACCTAAGTGAATAGTAAACTTAATCAAACAAAATGTAAAAAAAAATAGAAGTTCTAGTAAGCAGAAATCTGTAGCCAATGCAGCAACACAGAAGTGTTTGCAATAAAGCTATGTAATTTATGGATAAAACACAGTATGTGGTTTGATATTATTACCATGGTTGGTTGGTTAGTGGGGTTTAAAGACTTTTGACTACACTAGGGTTATTAATAATGCATAATGGTTCAGCCAAACAAGAAAACTTTAATCCCTAAAATTGGGATTACAGTAATCTCTCAGTGTATATTCACTGAAAGACTTAGACCTCTTGGTGTAAGTTTACCTGGAGAGAGTTCCAGGGGTCAACGCCCCCGTCTGTGACCAGGCCTTGTGGTGGAACAGGGCCTGATCAACCAGGCTGTTACTGCTGGCTCCACCCCTCAGGGAAGGTTCCTTGATGTTGGTGAGGGGCTCTTGATTTAGGGAATTGGATCTGTGCTCCAGTTCCCCGAATTAAGCCTGAATGCCTTCCACATCCCCCCCCCCCCCAGGCGCTGTATAATCCTCCGGGTTTAGCGCTTCCTTGATTATAATATAATATAATGTTACTGCTGGCTGCACGCAATCCAACATACGAGCCACAGCCCGGCTGGTCAGGTACCGACTTTAGTTGCCTGTCCAGTGCCTGCTTGAAGACAGCCAGGGGTCTATTGGTAATCCCCCTTATGTATGCTGGGAGGCAGTTAAGCAGTTTTGGGCCCCTGACACTTTTTGTGTTGTCTCTTAGCGTGCTAGTGACACCCCTGCTTTTCATTGGGGGGATGTTGCATCGTCTGCCGAGTCTTTTTCTTTCAGAGAGAGTGATTTTCATGTGCAAGTTTGGTACTAGTCCCTCTAGGATTTTCCAGGTGTATATAATCATGTATCTCTCCCGCCTGCGTTCCAGGGAGTACAGGTTCAGGAACTTTAAGCGCCCCTAGTAATTGAGGTGTTTTATCTACGTTATGTGTGTCTTGAAGGTTCTCTGTACATTTTCTAGGTCAGCAATTTCACCTGCCTTGAAAGGTGCTGTTAGTGTGCAGCAATATTCCAGCCTAGATAGAACAAACGACCTGAAGAGTGTCATCATGTGCCATAACCTGCATATTTTCTTCACATTCTTATCAGTATATTTGACTCAGTATACAACAGAGCTAAGAGACTTTTATCATAAAGCACTTTATAAGTAATAGAAGTCTCAATGTTAACCTACAACTGTATATAATGCTGGTAAGGCATAGTTTAGATATGATGAAAATGGTTTGAAAACTGGCAAGTTGAAGAATGAGACACTTATGTAACATTTGGTTACAAATCCGAATAAAATCTTATCTTTAAGATAAGATTTTATTCGGATTTTTGAGGTAATCAGTCCCTCAGCCTGGAGTCAATGTGTTCAGTCAATAAATCTTGAGAAATGTACCCATTAAACTGGACGTGTTGATACGTTGTACACCTAGGCAGGACTATCCAAAAATCACAAAAGTGGGACCATACACGCAGGACTGTACAGAGATCATACTATTACTATTACACAGTATTGTAACAGAAATGAGAATAGCAGTTTTTATTCATAGTCAAGGATCAACTAAAAATGGGGAACTGCAGGTTGACCTAGACTAAGAAGCACTTACATGATTTGTTGCAAAATTAATATGTATTGTCCAGTGACTTACTGATCATTAAAGTTTTAGGATAGTTTTACTCTACCTGTATGTGTGCGTTTCCACCCCACTCGACTCTTGCAATAATTGCTGAGAAAGGAAAGTTCCCCGTGTATCTGAAAATAATGTACATTAGTTATTTAAAACTCGAGTTCCTCTAGATAAATTTCATTCTAAAACAGCACTTGAAATTTATGAATGGATGAGCCAGCAAACAGGTAGGAGCCAAAAGCAATTAAATATATTTCACAGCTAGCTTACACTTTGAAGAGTAACTTAAAATAATGCTCAGTATTTGACTTGATGGATAGAAAAATCGTCTGAAACTTTCTCTCCAAACTGTTGTTAACTGGGAGTCGTAGTATTGCGACTTATTCTTTAACTTAGTTTATATTTGCAGGATGAAGAAAGCTTTCTTCAGGTTAGCAATATGTATCAAGATTTTTTGTTTTTGCACAAATCAGTTTGTCTGGTGTATGAAATTTACAAGCTTGTCTGTATAGGTCAGGGGTTCTTAACCTTATTACTATTACAGAACCCCAGCGAATTGCCCATTATCGTCCCCATACCCCTTCACCAGACTTACCAAAATCATCACCAGTCCTATTAGGTACCAACATAACTTCAAAAGATGTCAGTAGCTTGGTTTTATTTTACATATGGCTAGCTATGAACAGAACAAATGAAAGAAAATCATAAGGAATTTATCATTTATTTATAGAAAAATGACAGATTGTTCAGAGGTCGAGTCCCATACCCCCATTATTTGGTTTCCATACCCATTAAGGGTATGGATTTTTCCAGTTAAGAACCCCTGGTTTAGATATTATGAGAGATTTGTAGCCATAACAATTTATCTGTAACTGACACAGATTTAAGGAATGCCATTGTGTAGCAGTAGTTTTGTGGTGCTATGGATGGTCGGCAAGGGTACATTTGTGAGGTGCTCCAACACTCGCAGTGGGCAGATTTTATTTTATTTTAGTTAAGCGGAAATGCTAAATTCGTAGGGGTCATGTAGCTCATTGAGAATGGTTCAAACCAAGGAAGGGGAGGATAAGTCCAGTATCGTGGACCAAGAGTTCTTAACTGGATTCACTGGCTGAGTGCTGGTATTCACTGATTGCATGAGTGCAACTCCCATTCTGTTCACTGAGTTTAATTTGGGAGATGCTTACACTCTGGACAGGAAGGGCATCAAAATGAATGTACTACTGACAATTATGCACTTTCACAGCTGAAATTCTGATGTACCTCACTCATCTGAGGCGATGCTTTGAGGAGAGTTACGTACAAATCTTCATTTGTTAGCTACTGAATTTGCAAGGGGCTGTTGTACAACTATCCGTTGAGATCGAAAGCGTTACATTGTGCACGAGACACATTATGTACTAGGTTTTAGATACTTAAGAGGGGTGCCTGGAGTCAAAATTAACAACTGCTTTAAAACAGTATGTCACGATGAATGAATAAGAGACAGTTCTAGGAAATGGCACGAGGAACAGACAATTCGGTATATCACAAAACTAAAACAATAGATGCTAATTAATGCAGAACAGGAAAAGAATTATTAGACAGTCAAGTAACAACAAAAGTAAACATTAGTTTTATGCAATAGGGCAACTGTAGTACAGACTACAATAAAAAAAATATTAATCATTGTTACAACTGAGTGGCACTGTATGACCCTTGTAGGCTTAACGCTTTTTTTTTATAATAATAATAATCATGTTACAACTGAATGGAGAGAGAAAAAAATGAGCGAGAGAATGAACGGGGATGAAGTTAAAGAAGAGCGGGAGAAAAGAGAGGGGAAAATATATATAGAGGAGGTACAGAGAGATAAACCCAGGTACTCACCGAAAATGAACCTCGAGGAGGATGTCTCCACTTATGAACGTACTATAAACCCTCACATCCTCAACATAAGGTACATCAGGCAACACACCGTTCATCTTGAACTTAAATGTGAGGATTTTCCACCTTTCTAAATATTCGTTGATTTTAGGTTCAACAGTGTTTCTTAGGCAGTTCTCCATGTAAATAGTGACTAACGGCCACAGCTGATGAATAACCTGCAAGGAGGAATTACACACGTGTATAACTAGAGCTTGTGATCATGCCTGCTGTGCCAATCAGCAATCCTCTCCCCAGTTAGTGAACTAGAAGCTGCCATCCTCCTCTCCTCAGTCACTGAACCAGAAGCTGCAACTCCCAGTGTCCCAGGGCAAGCAACGTTTTAGGGTCTCATGGCAAACAACTTGTAGGGGTCCAAGGGCAAACAACTTGTAGGGGTCCCAGGGCAAGCAATTTATAGGGGTCCCAGAACAAGCAATTTGTAAGGGTTCCAGGGCAAGCAACTTGTAGGGGTCCCAGAACAAGCAACTTGTATGGGTCCCAGGGCAAGCAACTTATATGGGTCATAGAGCAAGCAACTGGCAGGGGTCCTAGAGCAAGCAATTTGTAGGGGTCCCGGAGACTACTCTCTCCCTCCTTCGCATTGGCCATACTCGTCTTACTCATGGATATCTCATGGAGAGGCGCCCTGCTCCTTTCTGTGAGAATTGTCAGGTTCTATTATCGGTCAGCCACATTCTGTTAGACTGCCCACTTTATCAACGAGCACGCAGAATTTACTTCCAACGTCGTCTTCGCTCCGCTGCTCTCTCTTTACCTTCCCATCTCGCTGATGGACCCACCTTTCATCCGGACTCTCTCATTGACTTTTTGACAACAACTGACTTACTGGAGTTTACCTGGAGAGAGTTCCGGGGGTCAACGCCCCTGCGGCCCGGTCTGTGACCAGGCCTCCTGGTGGATCAGAGCCTGATCAACCAGGCTGTTGCTGCTGGCTGCACGCAAACCAACGTACGAGCCACAGCCCGGCTGGTCAGGAACCGACTTTAGGTGTTTGTCCAGTGCCAGCTTGAAGACTGCCAGGGGTCTGTGGTAATCCCCCTTATGTATGCTGGGAGGCAGTTGAACAGTCTCGGGCCCCTGACACTTATTGTATGGTCTCTTAACGTGCTAGTGACACCTCTGCTTTTCATTGGGGGATGTTGCATCATCTGCCAAGTCTTTTGCTTTCATAGTGAGTGATTTTCGTGTGCAAGTTCGGTACTAGTCCCTCTAGGATTTTCCAGGTGTATATAATCATGTATCTCTCCCGCCTGCATTCCAGGGAATACAGGTTTAGGAACCTCAAGCGCTCCCAGTAATTGAGGTGTTTTATCTCCGTTATGCTCGCCGTGAAGGTTCTCTGTACATTTTCTAGGTCAGCAATTTCACCTGCCTTGAAAGGTGCTGTTAGTGTGCAGCAATATTCCAGCCTAAAAAAACCATACCCCCGGCCGGGATTGAACCCGCGGTCATAGAGTCTCAAAACTCCAGCCCGTCCCGCTAGCCACGGGCTAGATAGAACAAGTGACCTGAAGAGTGTCATCATGGGCTTGGCCTCCCTAGTTTTGAAGGTTCTCATTATCCATCCTGTCATTTTTCTAGCAGATGCGATTGATACAATGTTATGGTCCTTGAAGATGAGATCCTCCGACATGATCACTCCCAGGTCTTTGACGTTGGTGTTTCGCTCTATTTTGTGGCCAGAATTTGTTTTGTACTCTGATGAAGATTTAATTTCCTCGTGTTTACCATATCTGAGTAATTGAAATTTCTCATCTTTGAACTTCATATTGTTTTCTGCAGCCCACTGAAAGATTTGGTTGATGTCCGCCTGGAGCCTTGCAGTGTCTGCAATGGAAGACACTGTCATGCAGATTCAGGTGTCATCTGCAAAGGAAGACATGGTGCTGTGGCTGACATCCTTGTGTATGTCGGATATGAGGATGAGGAATAAGATGGGAGCGAGTACTGTGCCTTGTGGAACAGAGCTTTTCACCGTAGCTGCCTCGGACTTTACTCTGTTGACGACTACTCTCTGTGTTCTGTTAGTGAGGAAATTATAGATCCATCGATCGACTTTTCCTGTTATTCCTTTAGCACGCATTTTGTGTGCTATTACGCCATGGTCACACTTGTCGAAGGCTTTTGCAAAGTCTGTATATATTACATCTGCATTCTTTTTGTCTTCTAGTGCATTTAGGACCTTGTCGTAGTGATCCAATAGTTGAGACAGACAGGAGCGACCTGTTCTAAACCCATGTTGCCCTGGGTTGTGTAACTGATGGGTTTCTAGATGGGTTGTGATTTGCTTCTTAGGACCCTTTCAAAGATTTTTATGATACAGGATGTTAGTGCTATCGATCTGTAGTTCTTTGCTGTTGCTTTACTGCCCCCTTTGTGGAGTGGGGCTATGTCTGTTGTTTTTAGTAACTGTGGGACGACCCCCGTGTCCATGCTCCCTCTCCATAGGATGGAAAAGGCTCATGATAGGGGCTTCTTGCAGTTCTTGATGAACACGGAGCTCCATGAGTCTGGCCCTGGGGCAGAGTGCATGGGCATGTCATTTATCGCCTGTTCGAAGTCATTTGGCGCCAGGATAACATCGGATAATCTTGTGTTAACCAAATTTTGTGGCTCATAAAAAATTCATTTTGATCTTCGACTCTCAGTCTGGTTAGTGGCTTGCTAAAAACTGAGTCATATTGGGACTTGAGTAGCTCACTTATTTCCTTGCTGTCATCTGTGTAAGACCCATCTTGTTTAAGTAGGGGCCCAATACTGGACGTTGTTCTCGACTTTGGTTTGGCATAGGAGGAGAAATACTTTGGGTTTCTTTCGATTTCATTTATGGCTTTTAGTTCTTCCCGCGATTCCTGACTCCTATAAGATTCCTTTAGCTTAAGTTTGATGCTTGCTATTTCTCTGACCAGTGTCTCCCTACGTATTTCAGATATATTGACCTCTTTTAGCCGCTCTGTTATTCTTTTCCATCGCCTGTAAAGGGAGCGCCTGTCTCTTTCTATTTTACATCTACTACTCCTTTTTCTTAGAGGAATAAGCCTTGTGCATACATCGAGTGCCACCAAGTTAATCTGTTCTAGGCATAAGTTGGGGTCTGTGTTGCTTAGTATATCTTCCCAGCTTATATCGGTTAGGACTTGGTTTACTTGGTCCCACTTTATGTTTTTGTTATTGAAGTTGAATTTGGTGAATGCTCCCTCGTGACTAGTCTCATTATGTTGGTCTGGGGCTCCACGCATACATGTCTGAACCTCAATTATGTTGTGATCTGAGTATATTGTTTTTGATATGGTGACATTTCTTATCAGATCATCATTGTTAGTGAAGATGAGGTCTAGTGTATTCTCCAGTCTAGTAGGCTCTATTATTTGCTGGTTTAAATTGAATTTTGTGCAGAGATTTAAAAGCTCGTGTGAGTGTGAGTTTTCATCAGAGCTGCCTCCTGGTGTTATTACTGCAACAATATTATTTGCTATATTCCTCCATTTTAGGTGCCTTAAGTTGAAATCCCCCAGGAGCAAGATGTTGGGTGCAGGAGCTGGAAGATTTTCCAGACAGTGGTCAATTTTTAACAGCTGTTCCTGGAATTGCTGGGATGTTGCATCCGGAGGCTTGTAGACTACCACAATGGCTAGGTTTTGGTTCTCGACCTTTACTGCTAAAACTTCCACTACATCATTTGAGGCATTAAGCAGTTCTGTGCAAACAAGTGACTCTGCAATGTACAGGCCAACCCCCCCCCCCCCCCCTTTTGCCTGTTCACTCTGTCACATCTGTATAGGTTGTAACCTGGGATCCATATTTCGTTGTCCAAGTGATCCTTTATGTGGGTCTCAGTGAAAGCCGCGAACATTGCCTTTGCCTCTGCAAGCAGTCCACGGATGAAAGGTATTTTGTTGTTTGTTGCTGGCTTTAGACCCTGTATATTTGCAAAGAAGAATGTCATCGGACTGGTGGTATTGTTGGTACTGGGGGGGGATTTTTTTTTCCGGCATTAGTATCTGTATCTGTTGGTTTGGAGTGGAGGCCATCGACTGTGGTTCCACTCCAGGAATGACTGGATTTAGTGTACGATTTCTGCCATTTCCTGCCAGTTTTTTTTTCCTTCCTGGCACTAAAAAACCTCTCCCTCTTGAGTGGCTGTGGCTACCCAGGTTTTCCCATGGCCTGGATGTTTTGTATCTTTTTGTCCCCTTTAGATGGTGTGCCTGGCAATTTAAGTTATAGCACAGTCTTTCCTGTACTGAAGAGGTGCACATTTCAGGGTGAAAAAGCTTACAGGAAGGGAGTTTGCATTTTTCCTGATGATACCTTCAGCCCTTTCTACCTCAATCTCTTGCTACCCTCTACCCCTGCACTATCCCCTGCCCCTCTGTTTTCTTTAACCTACTAATCATCCCTCCTCCCTTCTGCCGCCCGATACCCTCGCTTCCTTCCCTACCCTGCAGCGCTGTATAGCCCTTGTGGCTTAGCGCTTCTTTTTTATTATAATAATAATTGTAGGGGTCCCAGAGCAAACAACTTGTAGGGATCTCAGAGCAAACAACTTGTAGGGGTCCCAGAGCAAGCAACTTATAGGGGATGTCTTTTGAACGATGAGTCGACTTTTTTTTTCCAGTGTGACCGATTCAACAACAAATAATCGTCATCGACACTACTTAACAAATCTTATTCAGTGCATTCTAGTTATTTTAGCAAGACTTTTCACTGGCATTAAAAGCCACTCGTTAAGTTTTCATGTATGAGTCTGTACACACGCGGAATTTAGTGAGCGTCTTTACGATGTGGCCATCACAGATGGTATATTCTTGGCTGGGTTAATAAAGGTTATGATTAAACCCAATATGATTAATTAAACTTATTTCATAAGACTGCTGTCCAGCAAAATATCAGTATGTTGTCTTTGTGATATAATAGGATTGCTTCTATTTAGTGTTCGTTATGCTCTTTACAGGCGAACTCTATATAAAGTGTGGCTAAATGGTCCAGAGAATCCACAGGTTGATATATTGGACAAATGTGCAACACTTGGGTATCTTTATTGAGGAAACGCCTGTTCAAGGGGAGCTCCTTGGCGTGGTGAAGAGGCTCTTGGTCTGAGGAATTAGACCTGTTGGTCTCCTTCTTCAGACCAAACCTAATTACCCCCCAATCC